GATCCCGGTGGTCCCGTTGTGACCTACCCTCCGTCCCTCCCCCCAGATCTCGGCCAAGCTGCAGCCCCTGACTCCAGAGCAGCGGGAACGGGGGGCCCTGGCGGGGCCGCGGCCGCCCTCGGGCTGCACCATCTTCCTGGGCTTCACCTCCAACCTCGTGAGCTCCGGGGTCAGGGAGAGCATCCGATACCTCGTCCAGCACGGAATGGTGACCGGGGGACACTGGGGACATGGGGGGGACACCTGGGACAGGGTGGGACAGCAGGGACCGATGGGGAAGAGCAGGGATGGGGAGGACACTTGGGGACTTGGGGGGGGACACCTGGGACAGGGCAGGACAGCAGGGATGGGGAAGACACTTGGGGACTTGGGGGGGGACACCCGGGACAGGTGGGGACATGGGGACACAGCTCTGTGGTCAGGAATGGGGATGGGAGGGACAAGGGACACCTGGGGGACAGGGTGTCCCCGAGATCCCTGGGGTGTCCCCAGGGTGTCCCCAGGGCCCTGAGCCCCTCCCTGTGCAGGTGGACGTGCTGGTGACCACGGCGGGGGGGGTGGAGGAGGACCTGATCAAGTGCCTGGCACCCACCTACATCGGGGACTTCCACCTGCGGGGCCGGGACCTGCGGGAGAGCGGCATCAACAGGTCTGGGGGGGCAGATGGGGGGCCGGGGACCCCTCTGGGGCCACCTCCGGGCTCACCTCGGGGTCGTTTTGGGGTCCCCCAGGATCGGGAACCTGCTGGTGCCCAACGACAACTACTGCAAGTTTGAGGACTGGCTGATGCCCATCCTGGACCGGATGGTGGAGGAGCAGGACACGCAGGTGAGGGGGGGACACCCACCCACCTGAGAAGGTTTGTGGGGTCCCTGGACACCTGAGTTGCCCCTGGCTCTGGGTGGGGTTTGAGGGGGTCCCGGGACCCCCCCAAGCCAGGGGTCCTGACCCCGGTTTCCCCCCCAGGGCGTGCGGTGGACGCCGTCCCGGGTGATCGCGCGGCTGGGCAAGGAGATCAACCACCCCGAGTCGGTCTGTTACTGGGCCCAGAAGGTACTGGGGGGCACTGGGAAGCCCTGGGGGGCTCTGGGGGGTTGTCACCAGGGATGTCACCATGTCCCCCCTCTCAGAACAACATCCCCGTGCTGAGCCCGGCGCTCACCGACGGCTCCCTCGGGGACATGATCTTCTTCCACTCCTACAAGCGCCCGGGGCTGGTGCTGGACATTGTGGAGGGTGAGTGACCCGCCAGGGGGTCCCCTCTGGGGTTTTGGGGGGGTCTCCAGGTGTCCTGACCCCCCCTCTGTGCCCGCAGACCTGCGGCTCATCAACACCCAGGCCATCTTCGCCCACAAGACGGGGATGATCATCCTGGGCGGGGGCCTGGTCAAGCACCACATCGCCAACGCCA